CCCCCCCCAATCAACATGATAATGACCTTTTCATTCTTATTACATACTTTATATTAGGCCCAGTGATGTCATCGCTAGGTCTCTGTGCTACGCTATGCAATGCAGGCAGATCATGGCTGGTAGGAGGGGCCAGCTGGGTGAATACATCATGGCACCCTGCCTCGGTACTTCTCTCAAGGGTCATCAGCCCTGATGTAAGCAGCGAAATCAGAGTAAGAGGAGAGAAGGCGGTACAACAGTCTAACATCGGTAGTTTGTAAAATGCTAGAGGGCATAATAAAGGATTATCTGGTAGAATTTGTTCAGGAAAACGGGATAGTTAATGACAATCAGCACGGGTTCAGGAAAGACCGTTCCTGCCTAACTAACTTGCTAACTTTTTATGAGGGGGTAAGTAGAGATATGGACGGAGGTAAGCCGGTGGATGTGGTATATCTGGATTTCTCAAAGGCTTTTGATACGGTACCACACAAACGCTTGCTACACAAGCTGAGGGCTATGGGCATAGATGAGGTGGTGTGTACGTGGATAGAGAACTGGCTACGGGAACGTGTCCAGAGGGTATCTGTAAATGGCACCTTTTCAGACTGGGCTAGTGTAATGAGCGGTGTGCCTCAGGGTTCTGTGCTGGGTCCCATATTGTTCAACTTATTTATTAATGACATCGGGGAGGGTGTTAACAGCGATATTTCCGTGTTTGCGGATGACACCAAAATAGGGAGGGTAATAGACACGGACTTAGACATCATAACATTACAGGAGGACCTGGATAAAATAGGGGAGTGGGCATTAATGTGGCAGATGAGGTTTAATGTCGATAAATGCAAAGTAATGCACTTTGGAATTAAAAATAAACAAATGGGTTATACAATTATGGGTATGCCGCTGGGGAAGTCAGAAATGGAGAAGGATTTGGGGGTCATTGTAGACCACAAACTGAAAGGTAGTTTGCAGTGCCAGGCTGCTGTAAACAAAGCTAGCAGGGTCTTGTCCTGTATTAAAAAGGGGATGTATTGCAGGGACAAGTCTATAATTTTGCCACTTTATAGATCATTGGTTCGACCTCATCTGGAGTACGCGGTCCAGTTCTGGTCACCAGTACTAAGAAAAGATGTCCTTGAGTTGGAAAAAGTCCAGCGAAGGGCAACCAAACTAATTAGGGGTATGGAGGACCAGAGCTACGAGACGAGGCTACTAAATTTAAACATGTTCACATTAGAGGTGAGGAGATTAAGGGGGGATATGATTTCCATGTACAAAATGTTTAATGGTGGCAGCAACATTAGCGATAAACTGTTTAAAATTAACTCCGTTACAAAAACTAGAGGCCACCACCTAAAATTGATGGAAAAAAAATTCCAGCACAAGGGGCGAAGGGGGTTCTTCACAGTAAGATCAGTTAGGGTCCGGAACTCCCTGCCGCAGGCGGTGATTTCAGCAAATAATGTGGAATTGTTCAAGAAACTTTTGGACGATTTCTTAAGGGACCGTAATATACAGGGGTACAGGTAATATACAGGGGTACAGGTAATATACAGGGGTACGGGTACTCCTAGAATGAGATCCTAATAGGTTGGACTTGATGGACTAATGTCTTTATTCAACCTCAAATACTATGTAACTATGTAACAACAAGGGAAGGCAGGAGGTCAGATAGAAGACTGAAGGGAAGGGCAGAGATCAGATATAAGACTGAAGGGAAGGACGGAGGTCAGATAGAAGACTGAAGGGAAGGACGGAGGTCAGCTATAAGACTGGAGGGAAACCTTTTGCCCAGGTACGCTCTGGGAGGAGAAATGCCGTGAGCCAATCAGATCTCTGCTGCAATGCTCTGAGCTGTCAGTCTAACACGAGTGGCATGCAGACAGTCAGAGGGAGCGGACTGAGAAGAGTGATGGGCGGGGCTGTATAGCGCATGTAGACAGGAAGTGGCTGCAAGGAGGCTGCAGGAGATTTATAGCACAATGGATGGGGGTAAAAGACAGATTCTGACACTCGGCACACAGAGCTCACTACATGTCCTAGTTCGGAGTGGGTCCACCTGAATGATTGAGGACTACTACTCCTATCGGATTGTGGACCTCCCTCCAAAGTTCCCAGGTGCAGATGACTCCGCCCACCCTCCATCATGGACCATAAACTGGGGGGGGGAATTAGACAATTCTTAACCCCTTTTTGCCCACCCTGTTGTATTCTGGGTTCCCTAATCTGCCGGTTGGTCCGGTGTCGGCATTTTTCTTCTCTCAA